TAGGTTTGGGGTTATTTTTCAATTCCATGTTAGTGCTGCTATTACTTAATGCTTACAATCATATCTCATTCCACCCTTCAATTTTACCAGATGACAAATACACTGGAGGGGAAAAAGTATTAAACACTCAACTTCATGCTCTGCCTTCCAAGAGAAGTGTTATAGGCTAGATAGGAAATCAAGTCAAATACAAAATAAATACCCACGCACAAATCTACATGGCCACAAATGTCCAAATATGAGGAAAAGCTTAGAATTAGTCTGTTATACAACATTCGCTTGCACAAAACTACTACTCTGTATTCTGGAAATAATTTAAAAGTAGCCTTTGTCAAGCTGTTCGCACATCTGTCTAATTTTAGAAGCTTTCTTAAGGACATTCTTGTATTTAATACAATACAAATTGAGTGCAAATCTAGAGTCACTTTGGAATCTAAGCCAGTTGAGTCAAACTCAACCTATAATGTTTGACTTAAAATTGCTGGTATTTTCTAATTAAACTATTTAATTGATCACTTTCAGTTACATACTGCCCCTAGAAAAGTGCTTCTCTCCACTTTCCCTATTTTTCTGAAGAAAGTTTATTAAACATAGATTACAATGTTATGTTGCAATTTGCAAAACAAAAATAATATGAAATGCCAACCTAAGTTTACCGATCATGTAAGAAAAGTCATTTTGAAACTGCGTTTAGACACAGTAGCATACCCTACGGCTGTGCTGTATTCACTTCAGCATAAATCACAGTATTTCAAACAGTCAGTGAAATTGACTCTGTACTCCACAAATCAGTGAGAGGCTTCCATTTTTACACAATATTTTATTCAAATAATCTGGTTTTATTAATCACATTATCATACTTTAATTCTTCCTCGCAGTTCAGCTTAGCTGTCCTTGACCTTTCTGGAACAAACCTGTCTTCACCACCAATGCTGACAGCCTAGACCTCCATTTATAATCCCAGCAGAGCTTTTTAGCTTGTGCTCCACTCGTTGCTTTAGCTTCAGTGTTGGTGTCCCTCATCAGGAAAGCAGACATCAACAAATGGGAATTTCTGGCTTATCTCAAAGTGAGAAGAAAATCTGCTTTCCCTCATTTCCTCTTCCAGTAGACTGGAAGAG